GCTGCAGATTTATGCCATAATATTGTTCAAGTTCCGATAAGCTCTGATCTGCCATAGCAAAAAACCAGTGTCGTATCCCTAGTAGCAACTTGAAACCGATTGCCCACTGTCTAAAAAGTGGAGACGGTCGGTGCACAAAGATAACTGTATTGCCACCAACATTCATAATCCCTTAGGACTGTCAAAGGTGTTGCAGGAGAGTTTTGCTTTTTCAATAACATAAATTAAACTTAGCTTGTAAGCAGCATCGGAGTAAGTTATTAAATATTAAAAAACTAGACCACAAACGCTTTACATTTTCACAAAACTGTGGCTTTTCTCCATATTGACATGCGACATTTTCAAAATAAGAGTGTGCAGAGCTGTCTCTAGATAGGCTTAACTTGACCTAACAGTTATTAGTAACAGTTGCAAACTCAGAGCAGCTATAAAAATAGAATATTATTCGCAAGAAACCATAATTTCATATAACGTTGGAGCTTTCGGAAAACAGAGCTAAAACTATTTTACCATAACTACCTACCATTTTTTTCTTCTTTTTCACTAACTCAATTACTCTAGGTTGAAATCGTCAATTAAAACAGACAGGTATGGTTAATGGGAAAAAAACAGTTTATCAACAAGGTTTCTTTTAATTTTCTTTGAAATATAATTAAATAAGAAAATAATTAAATGCAAACAAACTTTTAATAGATTATCCGTAAAAAAGCATAATTTCATATTAAGAAGTAGTGCTCGAACGAAATCAACTCTCGAAGAGGTGGAGGCAGGGAGGAAAGCCTAAATATGCTTTTAATCTTTTTTATTTAATTTTTACTAAGAAACTGAGAATGGATATTTACTCCATTCCACAGTATCTTTCAGGTCGCCAACCAATCAAAATTTGAGATATAAAGCAAGCAGTATTTTAGTTAATTAATTTATGTCAATATAATTAATAGTTTTTAATAGTTATATAGTATACAGTTGCTTGTTTTTACATAAGTATCTTCGTATTAAGTTCACGTAAAACGAATTTTTTGGCGTCTATTTCAAACTGTAATAAATTTAGATTTTAAAAAATCTAAAAACTGGGAAACATGTAGTTTTAAATTATTTCCTCAAACCGCATCTCTTTATTGTCTTAAAGTTTTGAGTAAAAAAATCAAAGAAGTTCTAAAAATTACCTAGTAGCAACCTCTTTATTTTCTACCTTTTTTAAAACGTATTGTGCTGTATAATATGTTTTAGCATAGAAAATATCAAGAAAACGCTAAGCAAAAATTTAACATTAACTCTATGATGGCAAGGATAGACCTCTTAACCATGGATCTCACTAATATCCAGGCACAATAAATAGTTCATGATCTTTTTTTATTTTTATCAAGCTTAATTTAATGCTATTTAAATTCTTTGCAATGTTCTTAAATTGGCAGTTAGAGGCAATAAATATCCAAATTGTTTTGCTTCTCAATGCAACCTATAAATAAAATGGTCTAAATTTTTCTATGTTGTCAGCACATTCTTGAGCCAGAAAAATTGTATGCTACTTGAAGAAGACGCTATACAATAGGAAAAACTTCCCATAGCAAATTCTATTTCAGCTCCATCAGTAATAAAAAAATTTAAGTATGGAAAAAGTGAGTTCAAGCAAACCTAGAGTGAGCCATGAAGTTTCGAATACTGAGAAACAAATTTTCCTAATATCAAAATGAAACTTAGGATTATGCTCTACTAACGATGTATTTGGATGATATTTTTACATTTTTTTGAAACTTGATGGCTTACTCAAAATTTGCAATAAAAAATTTCTCTTGTAGTATAACGTTCTCTAAATAAACAAAAACCTATTAATTCGAAATAGCTGTATTCTTTTATGTATTATAAAGTAATCCTATAATATTACCTTATGTAACATTTTACGAAAAACACATTGAAAATTATGTAGTTTCATAGTCAATTATTAGGCAGTAAATAAGTTAAATTTATTTATGTAATAAGCCAGTTTCCAATAAAAAAATATGCAATTAAAATCATAAATACAAAACTGTTATTAAGAATTAACTTTACACAATATTACTAATTGATCAATCAAACAATATTTAACTAATTTTATACTAACAAGTTGAATGAGCCTTTTAAGTTTAAATTTCCTTCCAATATACTCTGAAACTTAACCTGTGTTAAAGTAATAAAAATTTTAAGGATCTTTTAATTGAGTAAATTTAATTTCTATTTTATTTAACAAGCTACTTTTTAGTAAGAAATTGTGATTAATAATAGTATAGCAATCTAAAACCTCCTAAAATAGCTACACTGTAACAAAACAAGTCATAAAACCAAATATTTAACCTTCATATTAAAAGCAAATCCAGCAATCTTAATAAGGAATAGGGAAATTAAAATACTTCTGAAAAAAGAATTCTGGGTTTTTCATCAAAAACCCAATAAAAATGTTTTTTTTATTTATACATTTTTTTTAAAGCTTGCTTGTGAGATTCCGTCCATTTCCTGCATATTCCTTTAAAAAAAATATCAAAAAAACATTGTCACAGAAATATAATAAATACAAATTTACAATCTAATAAACTTTATTCAAGTTTAATTATCCAAATAACAATGACATTACAAATAGTCTTCAAATTTGAAGTATATCAAAAACACAATACACAAAATTATAAGATGAGAATTTTTTAAAATAAAATTAAGTCTAAAAAATGAGATCTCTATTCAAAGAGTTTCTTTTGAGCAGTATCCACAGAACTAGAATTGTAGAACAGAGTTAGGAACTCAAATTATTAAGTCATTAAAAATCTTTGGATAATAATAGGAATGATAATGACAATCACATTATTTTGAAAAAGACATTTTTTAACTAATACTTCTGGTATCAAAATAAGCATTTCTATGATATATTGTTAAGTAACTCTTCATCCTTATCAACATACACAATAAATTACACATGATTAGCTAAATAACAGTCTTGCAATTTTTCCGTAATATAGAAATTATGCCATTAAGGAGGCACAATAAATTGTAAAAAAGTCGATACTTGGCCAAATTAAATTACAATATTAAGTACTATACTAACAAAGCAGATATATGTTTAAACCTGCAAAAATGTTTAAAAAGAAAATTCTTACCAAATCTTAGAATAATGTCCAGGGGAAAAAAAAATCAATCTGCCATTTTGTGCTAAACAGATCAGTTAACAGTAATGCTAATATTTCAGTTCATAATCACATTTTTTTTTTTTTTATTGAGACGTTTTACAAATTTAATCAATTTTTTACTGTAATTGATTTTTAAATCTGCCACATTTAAACTTAGAACAGCAAAGTATAGCAATTATCAGAAAGATAAACATTATACTCTAGCTATAAGTATACAAAAAATTTTGCTTGTGTTATGAAATTTTCTTTGAATATTGAAGCATTTATAAATCATAAGGCAAATTATTTTTCTTGGTGCAATTTTTTATAGTTTTCGAAGTACCCCATAAAATTTGAAATTCTAGTTAGCAGTTTAACAATGTTAACATCCAACATGTTGGATGTTAACATTGTTAAACTGCTTGCACGTTGCTTGGAGAAAAAAATAACTAAAGCACAAACAGATCAAAAACATGATTCAGAACAGAAATGCATTCAGTTACATAATTTTGATAGTCAGAAATAAATTTGTAAATGCCTGGCACTTGGCACATAATAAATGCAAGAAATATATTGTTATATGCATAGCTGCCAATATATATTTATTTTTATTCTTGAGAGCTAAAATATTTGTTTTCTTGTGAATATGCTACCTCACATAATATTAAATAATAACCTTATATAATCTCTTAAAATTTTCTCTGTCCTTGCATATAGAAGAATTGTCATTTAATCTGCAAGCCTTTCATGATCTGTTGCATCAACTACAATTGCCAAGGTGCCAAATAGATTTTAAAACTTGCATACAAAAAATCCAAACAGTAAATGCATAAAAATTTAATAATCAGGCAGTAGTATGCGGAAAAAAAATAAAAATGCAGAAAGGAGCGAACTATAATTATAAAATTTATAGAAATAATTTTAAGCAAAGGCCAAAGTACTAGAACTAGGCAGTGGCATCCTGGCAATTGTTATCAGCACTTGTGATAAGCTATATTATTTGAAAATCTATGAATCGGCCACATGTTTAAATGCTAAAAAAAAAAAAAAAAAAGAAAAAAAAAGNGAAAAATATTCTCACTAACTTTGCCACCTACAGAGCACCAGAGGTAAAGAACATTGACAGCTATGGCAATGAAATAATGGTTTCAACGCCTGAAATATATTGTCCAGATATTATTTATAATTTACATTTATAAATAAAAACGACCAATTTTTACTAAGTGAAGTTATAAGAGCTTACGAAATTAATGATAACATTAAATGGTAATTTCAATAGCAATTCTTCAGTTGCTAACATAATTAATATAAAATCAATAATATACAGATTAACATAATTTACTAAAAAGAAATAGGTATTTAAGAGTCAAAAATGCAAAAATATACATAAAAAAATTTAAACCTAAGTGTTAAAACAATCTTTTTATTGAAGTTATTTTATGTACACTCTTAAACTGAATTTCTCTTCACATTCAATATTTAGTGGCCTCAGATGAAATTTGCAAAGTGTTTGAAATACTACTTTACGATTATGATTTTTTTAAACTAATTATTAAAAATTTATTAACTAAAAAATTAAGGTTCCGCAGTGGACTGATCGTTAAGACACGGTTCTCAGCAGATCACCGAAGTCAAGCATCACTGGCTACGGTCAGTGTGCGGGTGGGTGACCACTTGGATCAGTCTGCGTAGGGACCGAGGGTGTGCGGTATTGGTCCTCGTTAAACTGTGCTACCGTAAAGTGCTCGACTTCGCGCGCAGGTCGTCGGGCTACCGAAGCGGGGGTGCCATCCCCTCCGCAGAGGATCAAAATTGTGATGGCATGTCTTCGGATCATCCTCCGGGATGTTTCCCAGACCGTCGCCAATAGCCCATTGTGCAGCTCTAGTGCGACGTAAATTAACCACAACCACAACAAAAATTAAGTTTAATATAGCAAATTATATGGAATATTCTATGGAACAGATAAAAATCAGTGAGATGCAAAATACTAAACTTTTTCTAAGTGCAATGTATAATATATACATAAAAGTCAACAAATGCAATATACACTATTTTGAATTTAAGGTAAACAAAACAATCAAAATTGAATCCTACCAAAGCTTTGTTCAAATAATGATTAAAACAAGTTCCTGGATCTTGCAGAACTTCTTTTTAAAAATATTACTCTTGATCTTATCGTCACATAAATGAAATATGTGGAAAATACTAAAAGTTACCAATTTGTTGTGTGATTGGCATGCTGCAATATAGCCAAACTAAATAATTAAATTTAAATATTTTACCAAGTCTTATCAACAGATAGTTTTAATACAGTGCCTATTGCATATATTAGNACAAATGCAATATACACTATTTTGAATTTAAGGTAAATGCTGGAATATAGCCAAACTAAATAATTAAATTTAAATATTTTACCAAGTCTTATCAACAGATAGTTTTAATACAGTGCCTATTGCATATATTAGTCCAAAACGGGGAATATTTCTGTGTCGATATCTATTCGCTTCAATAACTATTCTATAAGAAACTTTCAAAAATTTCATATTTACGAAAAGTATTACTTGGAGCGGTTATTTACAAGTTAACCCTTTAAATTGGTCCCCTTTTATTTTTATCTGTCACAGGCCACAGTTAATTAGTGTATTTTGGCACAGGTACTAATACAGAAAAGGGATATTTCCGTTTCTCACTCTGTCTCACCAACTACAACCACTAAGATGGCAATAGATTTCAAACTTCCAAATTTTTTTTTAAAAAACGTGTAGACGTTTACTCGAGGGTGGCTACGAGTTATACCTTTCTATGATGCTTTTTTTTCTTTTCTTTTTAAAGTTTCTAGCGGGGAAGTCTCCAAGACTTGACGATTATTCTGGATACGGAAATCTCCCCTAGAGAAATCTTCCCCAAAAATAAATTAATATTGTACAAAAAAATATTTGATACTAAATTTCTAAGTCTAATCATCAGTAAATTACTTATGTTCTAACCACAGTACATGGATAATATTGACAAATTCATAAAAATGTATGCTTAAAACAGCATAAATATGTTTCAAATATAAAAACATCAAAAGGCACCTTATACATTTAATTATTTTGCGTCTATATTCTACAAATCTAATATCGTGATAAATACGCTTGAAACTTATTTCCAAAACCTATTTATAAATTTATGATCAGTACTACATCCTTATCATTTTAATGATTATATTTGCTGAATTAATTTTATTTTAAGTGCACAAATAAGCTTTTTAGCTTTTAAAAATTATCCTGCATACATTAAATTCATCTAGTTAAATTTATATACAAGATTGTCACCACATAAACACTATAAAATTGTATACAGTAAGATGTATAAAAATAATTAGCTATTGCTTTCATGTAAGAAATATAAAATGTCAACAGTATGAGTGCTAACAGCACTATTTATGAATCGTAAAAAGTTTTATATCAAAATTTCAGAGTATGTGCACCTAACCGACCTTCCAATTTGGATTCTTCCAAATGGAATTTGCATAAAAATATTAAATATATATAGCAATTAAAATGGAAAAGTCCATTCCCACACAAAGAACAAAATACACAACACATATAAAAAATACATTTGGCAGTAAATTGGTTTCTTGGTTGGTTAATATGGAATGCATTACATATTGGTCCCTAAATGAGTATAAATTATTTTGAGCAATATTTAGTTGGACACTCAAATTAAATTAAATTTTATTATAAAAACAATATTTACATTCCAAGAAATTCGATAAACATTAGATATAATTGAAATGTATCAAAAAAAATATTTTGACCTATTTAATCACAATGTATAAAATTTAAAATGGCATTTAAAATTTTTATATCACTTTATTATTAGATGAAATTAGAATAAAATAGTCGATGATAGCTTACAACGGTTAAAAAAAGAACAGTATAAAAATAGTTTGGTTTTTCACAAATTTGTCAGATATATAAAAAATAATTAAGGGACATCACAAGTACTACTCACACATAAAAAATACGTAAATTAAAAAAAAATTCTATCGGCTTAGATTTAAAACGATTACTGAATTGCATTACTTACTTGAATGTGGATGATTAAAATATACGATAGTAAACAAAGAAAAAAAAAACGGCGTTAGGCCTAATGTGTCAATTCATAAACTCATGGCATTGTATTGTCAACAGCTTTTCTCTCCAATCTTCGCGCTAAATCGTTAATTAAGTCCCGATAGTTCAAACTGTCGATATTTTTACAGAGGAGATCCAAAACAAACCAGTCGCTGAGAGAACATTTACGCAGGACGATGTCCAAATAATCAGGTCGTGCTAAACGCGCACGAGATCTCAGAACCAGGAAACGAGACTGAGGCCAGACGAAAATCACCAAATGGAATGCCAAAATCAAAGATGAGAACACAGCAAGAAGAACAAACCAAAACCACAAGAAGACATAGATCTTTTCATTGATGATATTAATTGGAAGGATGCACATAGCGTCATGACGCTGAACATCACCTGATGAACCATACCTATGGAAGGTGCATTTAGTGAGACGCGGGAAGACATGAATCATAGGGTCGTAACGAACAGAGTAGTCCCATTCAGTGAACTGGAATACTTTGTGTCCATATGAAGAAAATTCACCACCAAGAAAAGCATCCATTAAATACATTTGTCCCACAACATTGATAAAATTCAAAACTTCGCAGAAGAAATACTCAGCAGCATATAATTTATGATGCCCCATGTGATTGGTCAGATAATCAACAAGCACTTTGCGATTGTCTTCTTTCTTTTCTTCGTTTAAAATAGGAGAATTGAGACCTAAAATTATGGCACGAATTTTTCCTCCTTCCCACATCTTCCATAAATATCGAGGAATATAAAACATGATGGCTTGAAGAAAAAGAACGAAACATACCCACTGGTAGTATGCGTGGTACACACGTTTTTCATTAGGAGTAAATTTATCCACGCCAGGATATGGTACTTCTTCACCTACTTTTTTATGCCATGCGCTTTCCACACTAAATGTGGAATGAATCCAACAGAACGAATCCAGTACTTTGTTTGGAATGTCATCCCTCGATATGCAGTCAATCGGATCTCCAATATATTGCTTTGAAGTAACGAGAATGCTAAATGCAAGCAATATTATAACAGTAAACTTATAATGCAAACGAAATACATTGTTGTCAATAACAGTGGAATTGAGCTTTAATAAACTCTTTAAAGATCCGAAAATCTTATCCATGTTTATCACCACGCAGGTGAAATTATTTCAAATAAAAGTAAGCAAATGATTCAAGTTCAAAATCCTGGTCAGACTCCACTGCGATTTCCCATTTTTCCCCCTTTTTCGAAAGAAAAGGTTATGTGTACTAAAATCGCGCCAAGAAAAACTCGCCAAAATTCTCCTTGGGTACTAGTGCGTATCCGAGTAATTTCTTTTTGTTTCGAAAGAGTGAGTTTATTTTGTTTCTTTCGCGTTCACACAACTTTCCATTTCGCAAGAACGTGTGAAAACCGCTTGCATTAAATAAAGAAACAATTTAAATAGCAAGATTGTTTATTTTTACTCGTGTGTTATGTTCGAATATTCTAACACGATTTAAATAAACTGAAAATTCTCTAAAAAGTATAATTCATGAAACAAAGCTGGTTTCTTTTCTTCTTTATATTTTAATTTTTGAATTGAATATTCAAGAACCTTGGTAATTTATTAAAATAATTAAGTAATCTTTAAAAAAAAAATACTTCATGTCATGAAGTCAATTTTTATTTATTTGATTTTTTTAATAATTTTTTTTTTTGCGATTATTTTAATATTCTTGGTAATTCAACAATGTAATAAAAATAAATTAACAATATAATATTTTTTTAAATAAAAAAAAATCTAGCTTTTGATAGAATTTCAACTTAGTTATTAATAAAAGCAAGACAATATCATTTTTAATAACGAATCATTTTGAAATGCATTTTTATATAAGTAAAATAAAATCACAGTTCTAAGGGGGGAAAAATTATAACACTCTCCTAAACACCCAATTCATATTTAATAACATTGTAACAGTCTGTTTTTTTTAATTTTGAGTTTAAATAGAATATAAAGAGATGGATTTCACAAGATGGTAATAGATGTAAACTCTTTGATAATAATTATCACTAATAAGAGCAATTCACTTGCCAAATACGGCAACCTTCTGTATGCTTTCTAAAACGCTTTCATTTTATTGGGTTAGACTATCTCTCTACAGCCAATGATGAGGTCGCTGCTCTGGAGCGGATATCACTATCTTGGGGGGTAGAAAAAGGCTAGGGGCGACCTAAAGCGTCCCCTTGAATAGGTCACGTGCAGAAAATAGAATTTATCTTTTACCTTCATCTCAAAACTATTTATGCCCCTCCCACCTTACCTATTATCACAGAAGTTCACAAGAATTTCCCTCAAATATTTGTACTGTGGGTGGGTTTTTTTTTTTTAATCTGAAATTTTTTTTTCTAACTATATATATAATATAATGCAACTTTTAAGCAAAAAATATATTAGTCTGCTTTATTTTTAACACATTGAAAATAAAATTTTTAACACCACAATCGCTACATAAAATAAAATTTTTTAAAAATTATACATTCTTTATTTTTCACATCTCAGTTCTTCAATGTATTTTGAATAAAACTCTTGACTATAATAACATATTGAACTATTTTAACACTCATGTGCAAAAAATAATAAACTTTGAAAAACGCCTATGATTTTTGCTGCAAATAAATTGTTTTAGATTATTATTTAGATTATAATTAGCCTATATTATATATTTAAAACATTTTTTTCGTTTGAAAGTTTATGTTTTTAATCGCTTCATTCAGTACGTCGATACGATAATATTGATTATAAAAATATAACTATGTAATTTAATATTTTTAATAAATTCCGGCACAGAAATAAAGCTCCTTTCTACGCACAAATTCGGTAATCACCGCTCTTAACATATTGTTTTTGAATCCTTGACAAAATGTATACTTACCAGGAGTCGAATATTGATTAAAGTAGCAAAAATAAACAAAAACGATATTGAAATCTGTCCAATCACTAATGGAGAAGGCGGGATGAAAACCTCAAAACCAGCTTGATTGCCGAATGAACTTTATATCTAGTAATGTAAGATTGGCTATTAGTTTAGAGTTCCCTATATTTCAGGAAAATAATTAGACAAAATTAGATTTTCAAAAAAACAATTGATGCAATCGAAACTGCTCTTTGTTTTCTTTTTTTATCAATATATTTTACTTATGGAAATTCTAATGTTTTTGGTTTTTATCTAAGGTGTATGGACCTCGTTTGTTCAGAAGATAGAGGTTGTTTCGTATAGTTAATCGCCTTCATAAAAGCACCAATTACGGTTAATTTTTGAGAAAGAAATCTATGTTGATTTCAAGCATGGTGAGATAGTTATAATTTTTCCCATTCTAACAGGATAAGAAGGTTATTTTACTAGCTATTTTAAAAAATATTGTTGTACTTAACAGTTTTTTATTATCAATATTTCAGAAAGCACAAATAATGAGGAAAAATGTTTTTTTTTTCTTTCTTACAATATAAGTAATTTTGTTCAGAGCGCAAAATTAACTATCTCTAAAAAAAATTTTAGTTTTTTAATAATTAATAAAAAGAATTATACACAAACTAGATACAATAGAAGAAGGTATAATGGAAATATTTAAGAACAAATTTTGATTAGCTATTTTTTAACTTGTTTAGTAATGCATATTATAGTTTGCTGAAAAAGAATTGGTAAATATTTCCTTCAATTATTTGCATGTAAAGGAATAGGCATAACTTTCGCAAAAGATTCGATCAGATAATGTCCTCTTAGTTAGAATTTTAAAAAAATTACTTAAGAAAAATGAAATTTTTATTTTTTAATTAGTGTTAATTAATTGGTGTTAAAAACTTATCGTCATCGAAAGCTAAAAAGAAAGATATATTTCATTATGTGTAACTTTCAGAGTTTTAAAATCGCTAATACCAAATGATTTAAACAAAAATTATTTTATAAAAATAATTACTTTAAAATAAGGAAATGGATATTTTTGGGATATATTTTTACGTGGGAAAGCTTCAATTGATTTCAGCATGAGTTAGAAAGGAATAAACAAAAAAAGAATTATTTTTGGAAGTTAAAAATCACATTTGTCTTTGAAATAACATTTATATATAGCAACAACACCTCAGAATTACATCATTCGATAATTCTCCCCAAAAGAAGAGAGAAATTTACAGAGTGGTGCAGTGAAGCGTCCATTTTCGACCACGTGACCAGACAGGCGACTTTCCTGTTAGTGTGCAACGCGCTCGGCGTTTCGTGAGGGATGAAATTGGGGGAGGGAGTGTCCAAGGTCATCGAAGATCTTTGTCCTCTGGCGTCATGGATGTCCTGCTTTGAGCATGCAATAGCGTTTTTCTTTTACACTTCCTGCATTTATCCTGTGTGAATCTTGCAATGGAAAAGAAACGTTTTACGCTTTTTTTCCAGTTATTCTTGTGCCGTGGGTATTCAAGTGACACGCAAGAATTTTTTTAAAGTGGTTCTCATAGTGTATCCTCTAAAAATAAAAAGTTCATTCATTCATTCGAACATTACCTTGGCATAAATGAAATAAAATAAAAAAGAAGTAATATGATTTCCAAATACGGTGCGTTTTTCCTCTAATGCAAATAAGTCTTGAATTTCCACAGTAGCAACTTGTATCTTCTCCACATGGGGTGGATGTGCAAAGAAGAAAATTATTATACATTCTCTGTGAAAATTAGAAACTAAGACGTAGAATGTCATACTTCACGCTGATGTTTTTCTTTTCATTTCAGAAGGAAAGTTAAGAAAGTAATGTCGTTAGTTAACGAGAAAATAAACGAAGCTATTTATTTAGTTGGTAGACGTAGAAGTTTAAATAACATAGCAAGTTGTTGTCAATCCCAAAGAAAGACCTAAAAGCTATTTTGATCTACGTATTAAAATTAACGGGTACGTTAAAATATTATGCAGACATATTTTTGGTGATGTTGGTCCCCCTACTTTGTCTGTGAATTAAAAACACTCCTCCTATGATTAAATAAGATAATTTTTTTTTTCCTTTCTAGAAAGTTATTTTGGTTTTAAACTTATCCATTTTTTTGCATTTTAAAAGGGATTTTTCCAGTAAAATTAGTTAGCATTGCTCATACTTCAGTCCTTTGACATCATAAGTAAACAAATCGCTAACTCCTTCCCCTGCCCCCATAGATACTCATGCAATATTTTAACGATCCAATTTTAATTACTTTATAAACACATGCTGCTACTTTGTCCTATTATTTGTTTTAAAATCACACATTAACCATAGTAACATACGAAAAGTCAATAGATTAACCGCAATTATAGTGTTAGTAACAGATTAATTTGTCAATGCCCAGGTGCGTGCAAAGTTGTTTGATGGGGGGGGGGGCAATTTCCTAAATTAAATACTCCCTAAAATCTGAATGTCATCATTGCGGAGGAAAAAAATTTAATTGGTGTAATTTAAAAAATAAAGACCTTAATCCACGTTTTACATTTTTATTTCAAGAGATGTAAATGAAAACTATTCTAAGGAAAAAAAATTTTTATTTACAACAAAATATTTTTTCTTCACTACAGTGCAAATAATATTTTAATAATAATAATAAATTATTATAATAATTAATTTTCTTACAATAATTAATTTAATTTTACTACTAATAATAATAAATTTTAAAAATTTGTTTGAAAATCATATTTTATTTTTCATTAAACATTTAGCTTCAATCAAAAATGTTATTTCATATATTAATAGATTTAAAAAGTTTAATTGATTAAAGATTTAACTAGATGCCTGGGCCTAGGGGCCGTAGCCCTTTTCACCCTCCTCGTAGCACGTCACTGTATAACATAATTCAAAGGAGATTATATTTGTTGTCTCAAAAACTCTAGTATCATCATTTGCATAGTATGAAAATTTATTTTAATCATGTGCATTAAAAAAAAAAACAAGGAAAAAAAATTAGTTCTTATTTTCCCTTTTCATCATTATTATTTATTTATTTTTTATTTTTTTCTAATTTCAATGTTTGCTCGATTCCTCACGATCATACCGTGCATATATGATAGCAAAATACGAGTATAAATAAACAAATCAACTCGAATAAAAACATTTTTACGAAATTTCGCATTAATATTTCGCTTCTATGCAAACAAATTATCTGGGTTTCTTCTATTTATATTCGGCGATGGTAAAAAATATTCCAGTTTTTTTTTATCTATTTGTTTATTTAAAAGAAAATTATTACGTATAAACATTCTGAGGTTCGTAATTTGCCTATTTTGAATAGAGAAGGAAAGAAATAAAAAATGCGCCAAAATTTCCTTACAAAAAATTTTAACGATCTCTTATTCGATAATATTTCATTTCTTTACATGTTGAGCAGTTTATTTTTCTATTCATATTTCAGGATTGTTAATATTATTACCATTTTTTTTCAGGGCCTTCAAAAAATATTTTGAATATACCAGTGTTGTTTTTCATCTCAACTTCGAAGTTCCAAATATTGTCATGTCCAATTCCTTCGAATTATCATTTCCTCATTCTAACGACAAGGATATCCGTAACGATGAGACAGAATGTCAATGATAAATATAACTAAAATAAATCACTTAATCCTGAGTTTGACTTCATAAAATCTTCGCGTGAAAAAAAATTCTAACATAGAAAAACATAAGTGTACTTTTCTCCATCTTCTTTGTACTAGTCTGTACTAGAGTGCCCTGTACTTGTCTTTCACCTGTTGGCGCAGATGTTTGTTAAAGCAGGTGATGGAGAATCTTTATGAAAATCTCCTTTCAATTGCAACCATAATATTCTTATTGAAGATTGCTGAATAATAGAAACCGAAACTCAAGAGCATCTACTGCGAGTTTAGGCTGCAGAACCATACATGGCATTTTTAAAAGAGTTTTATTATTATGAGGTTTAAAACTTTTTTTTTTTTTTTTTTTTTTTAAAGTTTTAAAGGTTAAAATAAAAAAAATTTTGTTAAAAAATCATGTAAAAAAAAATTGAAAGGAAATAAAATGTTTCTAATCTAATTCAATTTCTGAAAGAATTTATAATTTTTATTTGACCATTATAATTTTTATTTGACCTTTAAAACTTTTTTAAAAGGAAAAAAAAGTTTTAAAAGTGAAAAATAAAAAATAATTGTTAAAAAATCATTTTTAAAAAAATTGAAAAGAAAGAAAATGTTTCTAATCTAATTCAATTTCTGAAAGAATTTATACCACTAGATTTTATTTAGTTTTTTTTTTCTTCTTAGATTTAATTAAAATAAGTTGCATTCAAGCTTTATCAATATATTAGGTGAAAATAAATAAATGAAATGATGCTAGGTGACGCCCATTACAATATTCAAATCCATTAGATTTATTCTAATCGCCTTCAGTTTTGGATTAAGGCTGATAAAGAAAAAAACACAATCATACCATTAGGTCAACATATGCGGTTGCTCTTATTTCAAAGTACGTTATCGTATTTTATTCTACTTTTTATTTTAGTACGAATTAACTCTAAAATTAAAATTATCTGTATCGAAATTAAAAACAATCTTATGTGTTTACTTTTTGATAAAATTCATTTAAAGTTACTCAAAAATTATATATTTCTAATTACATTTCAATATTTTAACCCATATTGCTTTATTATTACAGATATGTAATTGCAATCCGTCTTATTTCAAAGCGTCACTTGAAATAAGACGGATTTTATTGATTTTTTTTATTTTGTCAAGTTGAATGTCTATGCTACTTTAATAATTTTAGACTCGGATGTGGCTAAGCTGCGCTAAACTCTAAATATATTTTTAAAAAAATTATGTCTAAAATAATAAAACCAAACAGCTTTTGAAATCATGCCTGAAGCATAAATAAAACAATGAGAAATAAATGAGAAAAAGAAAGACAAAACAATTAAAAGTGGTAAGTTATCTTATCAATCTTAATCCCTTAAGTTGCATTTTTGAAATAAAGAATCATAGGATATAAATTGGAATAAAAAATTAGTAATATTTCTTCGTTCGATGAGGAATTGAAAATTAATATCGATGAATCAGCTCAATATCGTCAAATAATAGTTTTATATAAAATTATTTATACAATATTTGATAATATATTTATTGATTTAACAAATCATTATTAAATAGTTTTAGCTGAAGTGAAAGAAACTACTACTACTAAACTCAGTGGCGCGACAGCCAATAGAGGGCTAAGGCCTACTGTGCCCATCTCAGTTTTCTTGACCTTGGGCTCTGGGGTACAGGAGCAGATTCTCTGGTTGGGTGGTCAACCGAACGCAGACCCCCAGTGTTTAGTCCACAATAATGCTCGGTACTCATTTTATCGACCCACTCGAGGGATGAAAGGCTGAAAAAGGCTCAACCATGCCCGGTCCGAGGAGAGAGCCCAGGACCTGTGGCACGAGGGCGAAGTGAAAGTAACAATAAATTTATATTGCGTAATGAGTGTAACACAAGAATTTTACTGCTATGTTTATATTATGTCAAAAAAGAAAAGAAAAAATGAAAATAGGAAGGGGTAGAAATTGATTTTTAGTGAAATCATATTGTTTCTTTAAGACAAACTTTATTAACATTGCTTACAATTCACAATTGATCGCATCTTTTAATTATCATTTTCGAGTGGAGAAATATCCAAATCTACAAGTATAACATTTACAATGGGATTATGATAACTAAAGTAAGATACGAAATGTTTGAGTTCTATTTTTTCAATATTTCTTGCAAAAACTGCATCAATGGTAGTTCCCCCTTTGGTTGTTGGATCATTCCTACCATTTATCATTTCCAATCCAAATTTGTCTTTAAGGAAGGTTAATAATGTTTCAGCTTCAGGTAACGAGAAATTCACATTAAAATCTCCTGCAAGGATCACAGGCCGCTCACAATAATCAATTTCTTCACCAGTAACGTCTGCCAGAGCTTGTGAACCTGCAGTGGATAGTGGCAATAAAGATTTTGCAATAAATAATTTAATATCCCTCATGGCTGCATTTGGTGAAACATAAATGGCAATTAGAATCAATTTCTTCGGATTATATTCGCTGTGGTTGACTATGCACTCTACAGCACATATGTCTCCAATTCTTTTTGACGTTGAAATTGTCACATCAGGGATACCTGAGTAAGGAGCTTTTATATCTAAATGTGGAGTCACAATATGACATCTATTTTTCTGATTGTGATAAATAGCAGCCCCTGCATTCCGAATTTCGTTACGTTGAAATCTTACAACGAAATCAAAATTTGGTATGAGAACAGGAGGTTCATTATCGTCCATAAACGTTTCTGATAACATTAAAATGTTCGATTTTTCAAACACTCTATACGTCAAATCATTGGCGTGTGCACGAACACTTTGACAATTGAATGCTACGATTGATAAGTTTCTTTTCGAGTTGATACATTTACATAGTTCTTCATCCAAGGTGGAAGGTGGATTTTGACGCAATTTCATCATCTCATCCCGTAAAGCGACACATGAGCGGTCGTTACTCCCGTTCCCATGGTAAAATTTCTTATGTTTGTTGACTGGGATAATGTACAAGCCTTCAATTGAAACCGCTCTCGACATGGCAACGTAAACCAACTGTTGAGATTGATTTTTTTCATAATAATAAACCACCTCATTGAAAGTTCCCCCTTGCGACTTATGAATCGTCAATACACAGGCTGGTGCTAGTGGAAAATAATTTCTCTTAGCTGAGATACTTCTTTGTCTATTAAGATAGACTGTAGCATTTCGTCGACCGATCGGGACAGCTAAAGGATTGAGATTATTAGCGATCATAAATGAACGTGCCACGGCCCGAGCTTTTACTCCAGTTCTTTCACAATTCGGAAATATCAATCATACCCGAGTAACTTCCCCGTTATCATTTCTTTCGATGTGGTTCAATTTTCCCATGGCGCCGTTGGCCAATCCATCAGCAACTTCAATGTTGGTCGTTATGATGCCATACTGCCCAAGGACGAATGTCAAACGTTTCAGTAATCCACCGGTGTCTGCTGGTAATTTTTTTCCTTTCAAGTGTTCTACGTGCACATTCAAGTTGTTCCTCGTTGTCACAACCTGAGAAGAAATCTATAGCCTGGGATATTGTCTGATTTGGTTGATTTTCTAGAATTTCTCTGTTATATTTCTCAACCGTTTGGTTGGAATAAGCCAGACGTATGCCCTGCGGGCATAACCGATTAGCCTGTTCTTCTGTCACAAATTTCGATTCCACTAGTGCAAGTTCGACATCATCCAATCGATCTCCATTTCCTATCTTCGTCAAAATCGTCGAAAATACAACATTTGATTGACGCATGACTTGGGTGAGTTCGTGAAGTTTGAATGAGCGCCAAGTTTTTGAACCAATATAATGTTTCGATTGTTTGAAGATGGGTGTGGCTTTCACTGGTGGGAGTTGTCTTAAATCTCCAACCAGTATGACATCCAGTCCTCCAAAAGAGGTATCTGATTTGCCTGTTATCAAATTCAATCTTCTATCGATTCATTCGAAAAGCTCCGCTCCAACCATACTGACTTCATCGATCAACATCAAGCGAATGTGTTGAAATAATGATCCGAATTGTTGTAATGCTTCAGAACTCAAGCTATTATCTAAGCTGGTGGATAATGATCGAGCAGTGTGAATGATCGTACCGCTGATTGCCACTGCAGCTTTTCCTGTCAAAGCACATGTCAGGTACGCATTGCAATGTGCATTTGTAGTTCCATATTTATTATAAATTTCCATGATCAGACGAATCACGAAGGTTTTTCCGCATCCGGCTGGGCCCGTCGGGAACACCAACAATGGTTGAAGTGGTTGCGATGTTAAATGATGGATAGTTTCTAGTAAAATCGATCGTTGTTCAAGATTGGTTGCTCGCATCAGTTGGCAAAATTCTTCATTTGGCATTAAATTCTCTCTCCGCTTTGCAATCGCTCGGAGACGACTCAAAGTTGCTAAACGAAGATCATCGTTGGTGTTTGAATCGGGATCCGCATACATGTCATTGAATGGAGGTGGCTCTGGAACTGCTCCCGGACGAACTTGATTGTCTAGTTGCCTCAAATCTTCTTCTTCACGATATAACTGTTCACATAGTTTCCTCAATATTGATGTTAGATTCGAATTCCTTTCTACGCTCCATGATGATGTTCTCATTTTCTGTGTAGATTTCCAGAAATTTTGCCTCAGAAAGTAGATCTATCTCTTCGTTGCGGAAGGGAATATGTAGCATCACCATTTCTCTTTTGTACTCTTCAAGCTGAGTTGCCATATTATAATTTGTATATCTTATAATATGTGAGGTGTTCATTTTTTTTGTATTCATTGTTATTACATTTATAATGCGCACAAAATTGAGCAAGAGTGAGATCATTTAAATCCTGAGGCCGTCTTTCGTATTTATCAACGGCATTATCGTTCCAAATATCGGTGGATCGGTATCGTCTGCCAATTCCGTGCGTGCTTTTTTTCATTCTTTGTCGATCGACAGGCCATGATGTTGGAATATACGTTACTGATCTGGATGCATGTGACACCGGCTTACGCAGCAACCACCAAGCTGCTTCTTGGCTAGAAATATCCACAGAATTCAATAAATCGACGCTCATTTTTATCATCATTTCAACCACTCCAAAATCAGGATACTTTTCAGTTATCTCAAGAATCTGTCTTTGCAAATTACTTATACCTCGATTTGATTTATTGACGTAGTCCAGTACGTACATTGCACATGAATATTCGTCCAATATGAACTGCAAATCCATGTTCGATTTCAACACATTGAACAAGAATGGATTGTATGGATTATGCCATTTCTCCGATGGTTCAAGTTTTAATAATACTCGTGGCCGATTGATTCCCGCGGAAACAATTTTATAATAATGCTCGTCATAAGTTATATTGTTGCTTTGATAGAAGTCATCAATACTATTGTAATCTGTAATTTCGTACTGGGATTTGATTTTCTTGTAATGATCAGCATATATGGCAAAATTATGTTCTTCTTTATCCGTAGGAATTAATATTTGCGTCGACCGAGAAGGCAGGAAAGGTGCTTCGAACCGATATTTCTGTGGCTGATTACCTCCGCACTTTCTTATAACACGTAAACGTGTGTTTATGTGTCTGTAGCTTGATGTTACCTGAGGCCTCTGAGGTTGATACTGAGATTAAAGTATCGATCAATGTTATCGTAACTTCTTTGTCATCGCCTCGTGGACTGATTGGTGCATCTTCCAACCAGAGTAAAATATGAGCGTGCGGACCCCCACGATGTTGAAATTCGATTCGTTTAAAATAATCTTTCACTTTATATTTTTCAAATGGGCATAGGCCTTTGTTCTGTAGGAGAGTCATTAACGTGTTAACTAATTTGTCAAAATAGATGGCACATGTGACAGCGTCCTCATTGATAAGTGTACTTTTTTGCAACCAATTGAGTTCACTTGCTTCATTTTCAGAAATTATTCTTCCATCTTTAAATTTCTGTAGCAACTGCAGCAATGGGATCCACCCAATTTCGTTTGCGCTCATAGTGAGAAAAACCGTCGGCCTACCAAGTTGCCGAATCATGGCAAATAGATCTTTTTTGCACTGGGACCAATAGTACACGGAATTCGGTATCGACTTCAAGAATGCGAGATTTGTTTCTAGGCAATCGTTAACATATTCTTCTGATTCGATTTGTTGTTTCGTCACTTTTGTATCATTGCCGATAAACTTGAAGGCAACAGTAAGTGATGAAGCAACACGCAGTCTCATATTTTTCGCAGCCATATAAAGCAAATGGCGAGGATTAATACCTCGTCGATCAGTTCGTCGTATTTCACTCGTTGCCATTTGAAAAGGTGTGACTGAAATTTCCTCACGAAATGTTCTCATGTGTCCAAGATAAATTCCAGGAAATGATAGTTCCTCGGCATACTCGTCAAACAGCAGACTTTTTGGAATTTGATTTTCTCCTGGTGCAAGTCCCAAATATTTATCTCCATCCCATAATAAGGTTTGCTGCTGAGCAACGATTCTATCTTCCATTGTGATCGCTTCACTCAATTCATCGTTCGGTATTTCTCCATCCGTTACAGGCCCATTCCAAAAAGACTGATCAATTTCAATGTCATGATACAGTAGAGTATCTTTCAGAAAATTCACCAAGTTTTAACTGTCCTTTTATTAACCAAGCCTTGAACGTAGCTGGATTTGTGAATTTTTCTTTTCTTGGTATGGACATTTATTGCATGATCATCTCCAATATCCCGTGGCAGGCGTTTTACCATTGTATCCAGGTTAGCAGGCACATTTATGATCTGTCCATATACGCCGTATTTACCATGAACGTGTCTTAAGCGTTTGATATGCATAAACGGTTTTCGAGGTGAAATCAATCGTTCCGTTATTATATCCAGTGGTGGTAAATTTTTTGGCATTGGTGGATATTTGAAACCATTATAAACTGCATAAGTTGGTATTTTGTTATGTTGCACTGACTGAAAACACGTTGCACGCAATTCGATACTTTCTCTCGGAACATTTGGTAAGATTCTGTCCAGAACTTCATGACCAATATCTGAAGGCAGTCCTCTCAAACCTTGTTTAAACTATAATCGATCACATATCGAGCATGTAAAACCAAAACTGTTCTTGGTGAATTTTGCTCTAATGTAGTTGTGAGCTTTCTTATGCTGATGGAATTGAGTTTATGGGACTTGTGGATTTATCCTTGCATTTTCGTCACCAATATTGCTGGTGTTTTCATCAGCAATCTCCATTGAACCGCCGTTGGTTTTCGCAGCCCTCGTAGATTCCCGTTGAGCTTTTTTCCTTGCTCTATATTCTCGTTGATATTGTGCGGGTGTTTTCCTCCTTGTTGGCTTTGCAAAACCAATATCACTACTCGTCGAAGGCCCAGCAGTCGTTGGTGGATTAATAGAAGGCCCAGCAGTTGTTAGTTGGTCTACTATAGTTGATTGATGAGTGGTAGTAAATCCCCCCGTCGAAATTGATGGAATTACAGCTAGCGAATAAATGAGTATATTGTCACGTTTGGCTTTTTTACGTTCTCGGTACTCTCTCTGATATTCCGCGGCTGATTTCCTTTTCCTCGATGTTACTGATCCAGAGACGTGAATTGTAGAAGAATCAGCAGTCGTAGAAGGATCACTAGTTCTATTCAACGACTCTTTTTCCTGCTCCGCCCGCTTCCGTGCTCTGTAATCACGGTAATATTGTGCATTTTTCCCTCGTGGACCTCTTGAACCAGTGGAAGTGCTTGTGGTTGCCTCATCGTCTCGCCCTGGAAAATGTATTTGTATTAATAATGTATGTGAATGCGTCATAATGTAATTTCAAAAGAGAAAACCTAATAATCAATTGATATTCACAAGAAAAGTACCTTGACATAACCTTAAGACCGTCGCATTGTCCGTGGGATTGCTTTCATTGCTTGTGGTTGCCTCATCGTCTCGCCCTGGAAAATGTATTTGTATTAATAATGTATGTGAATGCGTCATAATGTAATTTCAAAAGAGAAAACCTAACAATCAATTGATATTCACAAGAAAAGTACCTTGACATAACTTTAAATCCGTCGCATTGTCCGTGGGATTGTTTTCACTCATTTTTTACAATTGTTATCCACTAAATTTGAAAATAAAAAATTCTACCCTATTAAATTATATGTGTATCAAATCAAAATAAAAAAACAAGTAAATGAAATAATGAATATTATAAATTAAAATAGAACAACAAGTACGTATTTCAGCTAATTTCACGACGCTCACACTGTTTACTTTTCACTCTCGCTCTGTCTCTTTCTATTCCCCCTCCCCAGGAGCGTTGAACGTTTAACGCAACAGTGCTAAANCCCCCCCCAAGAGCGTTGAACGTTTAACGCAACAGCGTTAAACGTTTGACGCAACCTTGTTGGAAGTCGCATTAGAAGTTTCACTTCAAAAAAAGATTCGCAATCGGAATGATTATATACGTATATCTTGTTAGTATCTCGTCCAACCTGTAGAAGACTTGATTATAATTTTCTTTCTGTTGCTAATAAATTAAAATTTTTAGGTTTCTTCTTTTCTATTTTTTATAATGATATTTATCTACTGCATCAGTTAAAAATAAAGATCGCTTTCCTTTATTAGTTTTGAATATCGTCTGCGAAATACAATTTTCCTACATGATAAAATAAACTGTGCGCTGCAATAAAAAAATACTAAAGGATTCATTTCTTTTCATCAGTTCTGTTGTAATCGTTTCAACTTGTTCTTTTGTAGCGGCTAGAATTTATTAAATTTTTTATCAAAGGCCTAGGTTTAAACTATTTGGCATAAACCATCACATTTCTTCAGAGAACACTACCATATATTTTGATTTTCTGAAATATCGTCTGACGCATTTTTTATTTTATAATTGAGCGAATTTATAACCCTTCGTAGGCATTTTCCATCAATTATCACTATGTAATGCCAGCTGTCTCTGGTTTCTCATAAAAATTGAATGTCTTCGGATCATTCTCCGGGATGTTTCCCAGACCGTCGCCAATAGCCCATTGTGCAGCTCTAGTGCGACGTAAATTAACAACAACAACAACAACATAAAAATTGAATGTAGCAAAACATACTTTGGAAAGAAATTTTGAATGTGCTACTAGTTAAGTAAAAACTCAAATCTGGATTGAAAAAATAGAATTTTTCCACGAAAGTTTTAAACAAAAAAGATGAACTTGTATCTTTCATTTGCTAACATTTTGGAATATATATATTTCAAGTAAGAATGAGTTCTCTTATTTCATCATAATTATTGTTAAATATTCGGAGTTAGCAAACTATCAGATTTCTAATCGGTTTTAAATATCACGATTTATAGCTTCTTTTGTTTTGAAGAATAAAAGCGGATTCATAATAATTTTCTGAATCCTTCTGCCAAAAATGTTCCTTCTTATTATAGAAAACTTTAATACAAAATTGGAAACTCAAGTTGAAGATATAACATGTGGAGATTAAAATTGGATTTTAATGTAAGAAAGCTGTGGGAAAATATTATGCGAAACATTCAAGGATTCATTTAATCGAATGTGCTAATTCTGTGGTTCATTCTAATCTTTTTAAAAACAATAAATGTGCAATTAATCATGCATCGCAGAGACTATAGGTAAGTTTTGTTCTTAAGTATATAACTTATAATTTTTCTGACTTCTATTTGTTTCGATTCATTCATTTGTTTCACTAATGGAAATATTTTTTTCAATTTACTCATTTGTTAACTTTATTGATATTGTAAAAAAAGCATTATAGTTATTTAAATTCCAAATTACTTTTATAATGCAAATTACCCATGTTAGACATCATTGTTAGATATCTTCGAACTGAATAATTCGCGAATAAAAATCCAAAATGAATATACTTGTGGCTATATAATTATAAGCCACATTTTGGAGAGTGTTTTACGTAGGAAAAATAAACACTAGGGTTAGCAAGTCCAGAATAAGATTTTTATTTATATATATATCGTGTTATTATATTATAGAAATTCTGAAAACGTATTAAACTGAAAACTGTAGAGTACAAGGAATAACTTGACGTGAAAACGTTATTTTTGCAAAAACAGTGGCTTATACCCCCAAGCTATGAAATTTTTACGATCCATATTATTTTTTTTCTCTTATTTCACATTTACACAACGCTGTTTATTATTTAAATGGAGATAGAAGTTAGTTTATATTGACACACCTTTATAATATTTTAGAAATTATACTTCATTTAATTTTAAAATTTTGTTGAAATAAGAAGAAAAATTTCAAAAAATGGGATGATTTTAAAAGTAGATGATCACATTTCTCACACTCACGTTTTATTTGTCTAAAAATATTTTGTTTAAATAGTATTAATGCTCTATATGGAATAATAGATGAGAAAATATGAGATATTATTTATAAACCATAAGAATATTGAAACCATGAAAAAAAAAGAACTTTACTTATACTTTACAGACTATAATAGAACTAAATTTTCATAAATACATTGTTATTGCGTAGAATAACCTCTTAAATAAGTATACAGAAATGATTTTTATCAAAATCTAGCATTATATGAACAGAATTTCAATCTTAGAAGAAGAAAAAATAATAAGTAAATCACCATTTTCATTAATAAATAAAGCATCTATTCACCATTTCTTATAACCCATTCTCATAGAGCTGTCAATAGTTGAACCTTAGAAATCGACTTATTCTTTCTAAGAAAGGATATATTTACCATCAGCTGTTAATGATATGTTAAGCATATTAAAAAAGGAAAGGCAGTGATTGATTCGGTAATATATAATATTACAACAACGGAGATAAATTGAATTTGAGAAAGTTCAATAAGTTCATTAATTATTCGCCTTTTTCCCCATTTATAATGTTCTTCAAATGGTTTCATTTGGAACGAACAATCAAGTGGTTGCAGTGTCAATAAATTTTGCTAATGAGCTAGACGTGTTCTTTTTTTCGGGTCAATCATTGCATACATATCATAATATTAGCTGCTTCATCAAAGCAAATGCTGTAACAAACACGTTTAAAAGTATATTAATTAGCTCTTTTCCCCCTTAACATGAAAAACGAGTTTTGTGCCAACATTAAAATTAGCATAGAGGGAAATGCTCCGAATCCATTACATAGCATTGATTCTTAGCAGTTGATATTATCTAATGCTATGGGTACTACACATAAGAAAAATTATTTTAAACTAACTGCATACCCGTACTAACTTCGTACGGGGTGAAGGAAAAAAAAAGGAAAAGAATCAATAAATCGGTACTCCAAAATCGTTCCCATCTCAAAAAGACGTATACCAATAATTAAGAAAGCTAAGTTAATTACAATAGTTTTTATTTATTTTCATGTTTTGTTCAGGTACACATACATGAAACAGAACACGTTTTTAATAAGCATTTTTTTGTGTTTCTCCTAAATGATACAGTTAGGAGAACTCATATTTCCATTAATTTTGCTTTATAAAGTACATAGTTTATTTATTTATTTATTTTTATTTCAATTAGCGACTGCGGCCAAATTAAAATGAGGATTATTGGCGTCAAAAATGGCATGTCGATTTTTTACTTTTACTTGTCTTATTCGTCTGGAATTAGTAGGATTTGCTAATTTAGCTTTTTGATGCAGTTTATTTTGTTTTTGTTTCAATATATACCTATTGAACCGCGGTGGTTCAGGAGATAGAGAGTTCCCATTTAAAGAGCTGACCCAGGTTCGAATCCCAGTGGTGGCTGGTTGATACGAATTCTATTCCCGTCACGCACAGACCACCGAACTGACGTAAAATATCCTCCGAGGTAAACGGATCATGGGTTAGAATCCCCTTGGAGCCGGGCTAACCACGGGAGGTTTTCCTCTCCACGCAACGTAAATGCGGTTTAGTTCCATTCAAAAGTCCTCAATGAAGTTTATTTAATTAAATTTTTAAAAAAAAATAATTAAAAAAACTGAAATTTATTGATGGAGATTATTTAAATATTAATGAGTTGAGTTATAAAAACAAAGCATTAGAAAAATTAGGAGCAGGCTGACTATTTTCAAACCTTAATCCTAGAATTTAAATCAAGTTCTTTTTCCTATTTCTATTCATGCAACAAAGATAATTATGAAATATGTAATTGACAGCATTTTTTTCTTCTTTTCTCTTGAATTTAGAAAACATTATTTAGTCAAAAATCGTTTAAAGCTGAATCTCACAAAAGGGAAGGTAATAGAAACTTTATGTCTGTGTTGATTCGCATTTCTTGCTTAAAAATTTTCTAGAATCAACCTGTATATTAAGGGGAATTCAATTTAATCTAAGTTTTATTGGTTAATGCTGTTTAAGTGATGTAGATGGTAAAATAAGAAACTTCCGTACTTTATGTAATTGAGCAGACAAACCTGCATGTATGTGTAGCAGTGAATAATTAAATCTCTAAGTGAAGGTTTCGATAGAGAAAATAGTTATTTCCGATTAGGTTTGTAATGAGTAATTTATGTTGTAAGCAATAAATGATACTTGCAAGTATTAAAATATTTACATACAAAATCCAAGTTAAAAAACGTGCATTGAAACTAAAAAGAAATTTTAATAAAGAGAAGTCTAGAAATGCAATTAATTTAGTCAATAAATCTAATATCGGCAACTAGTATTTAATCTTGTAATTCTAGAATCTAGATGTATGTACAGACTTACTAGAGGCAATATTCTTTAAAAGTTTAAGAACCTCAAATTGAAATTCTAACGTTTGCTCTGATGTCAAATTATTTAAAGTTGGCAACAAACTATTCATAAACGATACATGAGGGTTTGGATTTTCTAACTTTTCTATTGCACTAATGAGTCTGGTTTCGGTATCTTCGTGCTTTCTTTTAATTCCTTGTTGCACAGGTTCTATGTATTGGATAGGTTTAATGTATTGAACAAGTTTGGTGCATTGAACAGGTTTGGTGCATTGAACAGAATGAGTTGACTCCGGCATAATGTTTGGAATTAACTCTTCGGCAGTTGGTATGGCTTCATTACTTTCAGTCTTTTCGATCTCGTCTTCACTAATATAGTACTCCAATTCATATTTCAAAGGAATATCATATTCTTCTCCAGAAGAATTGTCTTCCTGCTTGATCCGAATATTTTCATATTCTTCCTTGAAATTGCTTTCAGGCGTGTCTGCATTCTTGTTTTCTTTATATGTGAAATTGTTCTCAAGGTGACTGTAGACTTTGTGCAGAAACTGAAGTTCATCATGAAAGATGTATTTTTTAACAAACGTTGGCGGTGTTCCTGTCTTCCTTGCGTAAGGCCTTTTCTGAGACTTCAAATAACTGTCTCTAATATTCCGCCATCTCCTCGTTATAACATTACCTTTAAGAAGGAAAAAAAACAGGCATTAATATATCATCGAAAACAGTTTTTATCATCGAATACAGAATTAGTTTTCAGCTTATAAAATATATAACACTATATAGCAGGGGTTACCAACTTACATGAGGCCGGGGGCCGCAATTAAAAACACCAGTCAAATGGCGGGCCGCAACTTTTTCAAAATTTTATATAGGACTCTTTAATGTTTGAAGGTACATTAAATATTGCTGTCTGATTTTTATCAAGCTGTACAAAATAAAAGTATTGAATTACAAATAATAATAAATATTTTTTTGGATGCAAAACCTGAAAAATAATTTTTTTTGTACAGTTGGTATGTTAAATTTCACAGAAATGAAGAAATTAGGTTTTTTTTAACGAAAAAAAGTATTTTAAATCCATATAGATTTTTTACGAAAATTATTCGCCTAAGAGATGACAACTAATATATTTTAGTTCGAGGGCCACAAAAAAAGGCTTCCCGGGCTGGATGCGGCCAGCGGGCCGCCAGTTGGTAACCACTTCTATATAGGACTATAGGATAAGGTTAATGGTTTCAAAAATGATATAGATATTCTTTTCACTTGTTTTTATCTTGNCGTAGGGAGTACAAAAAAACTGGCCAAAGAAGCGTTCCTGTACGATCCATAGTTTACGAGAAAAATACGAAAAACAAAGTATGACGTCACTGCCGGTGCAAGAGAAAACACTTTATTGAACATATCAACAGCAGTATACTATGCGCAATTTAAAGCAGAATATGCGCTGCGAACATTTTAAGCATTATCGTATTTAAATATATGTAAATACTGTTGTTGATATGTCCAATAAAGTGTTCTTTTTCTTGCACCGGCAGTGACGTCATACTTTGTTTTTCGTATTTTTCTCGTAAACTATGGATCGTACAGGAACGCTTCTTTGGCCAGTTTTTTTGTACTCCCTACGAGGAATCTAGCTGTGCAGAGTTTATGCGTTCGTTTTGGGACACCCTGTATAGGAATATAGGATAAGATTAATGGTTTATAAAATGATATAGATATCCTTTTCACTTGTTTAAAAAACGATGTTTTTCAAGAGATTTTTAAAAAGGGGAAATAATTATTCATTTGTTAATGAAAATTTTATGGGGTTCATATTCGGAACAAGTGGAGGGGATATTAGGTGACGATAAAAGATTATTGCGAAAGTGATGTTGCCCAAAGTATTATGTTTAATGTGCCATAAAAAATCTCTTCGAATAAGTCTACTTGAAAAGCGTGGTTTTTTAAAAAGTTCCTTTTTTTTATTGTGAAAATGATTTTCTTCGATTTAATTGTGTATATGATAGAATGGATCAATTGTATGACACGGAGCATTGGAAACCGCTCCGTTGCAATGTCATCGAAAACTGAAAAGTTTAATTGGTTTCATCCGTAGACAAGAGTGGAGATATTCTTTTTTTTGTGTAAAATTCATGTTTCGAATTCAAACTTTTGTTACAAATTTTAATACATTTCATTACAAAATATTTCCCACCCCTGCACCGACACTACGTTTTGTCACTCTTTCATCAAAATAAAAATTCATATGAAATATACATTTTGAAATTGAGAATTTGATTGGTGCATTTAAAGTAGGACGAATGTAAAAGTCATGAATTGTATTCAATTATTCTTTAAGACTTTATTTTTTTATTGTAGTTGAATTATCTAAAAAAATATTGATAAAATAGTTATTATTAAATAAAGATTAATGACGTCAAGTAAGAATTATGAGTTGGATCAATCGAAAAATCAACAGATAAACGAAGAACAACCGTTAAACTTCTTAAAGACTTTTGAGCTGGCTCCAAAAGCTCCGTTTCGCGGAATTCATTGTTAAAGTCGAATTGATAAACAATCTAACAGAAGATAATTTATCCTATCAGAGATTAAATATATTCGGGATAAATTCTGCTGGTAGTGGCTAAAAAACTATTGAAACTTTTATTTCCGTTTGGCACGGACTGAAGTTGAAATTTAAGCGATTTAGCTTATTAGTCGGAATGAGGTCGAAATTCCGATTGCCAGATTTGCATAAACGAAGCAAGTCTGAAGTTTATATTAATGGGTATAGAATTAATTTGAGGTTCAATTTAATTTTGGCAATCAAATTTGAAAAAGCTGACATATGTTATTTTTTTTTCTGATGTAATTGGGTATACTATAGCCTACGTCACAGATCGTGTTATTCCTACTAAATTTAACTAGTAAACAGCATTTTCTGCGAACCTGATTTCTAGCAACAAGTAAAAGCATCAAACGAAGTGTCTTGTTTATAAGTCGCTACTCGCCAGGTTGGAATTGTATTAGTCTAGTTCCTTTGGAAATAATTTATATTGTTGTTTTACCGAAGTTTATGAATTTAGTAAACATATTTAAAACTCAGTTTATTAATTAAACTAAAAGGTAAATGTTATTCCTAGTAAGTGGAAGTAGTTGTGCTTTTTTCATATTATACCCAATT